AAAGACCCACAGAGACCCATCGCTCACCAAAACTCCCCCCTCCCCTCCACCCCCTCCCCCCACTCCCCTCCCCCCACCCCCCCACCCCGTGTCTGCAGGTGAACTCCATCCGCAGTCGCAAGGCGCAAGCCCTGGGCGGCTTACACTGCCACAACCACAACAACAACCACAACAACAACCACAACAACAACCACAACAACCACAACAACCACCACCACAACGGCCTGGCACTGGTGATAAGCAACCCTGCACTAGCAGCTGGTGGTGGTGGTGGAGTTGGTGGTGGAGTTGGTGGTGGTGGTCGTGGTGGAGTTGGTGGTGGTGGAGTTGGTGGTGGTGGTCGTGGTGGAGTTGGTGGTGGTGGTCGTGGTGGAGTTGGTGGTGGTGGTGGAGTTAGTTGTGGTGGTGGTGGAGTTGGTGGTGGAGTTGGTGGTGGAGTTGGTGGTGGTGGTCGTGGTGGTGGTGGAGTTGGTGGTGGTGGTGGAGTTGGTGGTGGAGTTGGTGGTGGTGGTCGTGGTGGAGTTGGTGGTGGTGGCCGTGGTGGAGTTGGTGGTGGTGGTGGAGTTAGTTGTGGTGGTGGTGAAGTTGGTGGTGGTGGAGGTTATGGTGGAGGTGGTGTTAGTGGTAGTGGTGGTGATGGTGGTGGAGTTGGTGGTGGATTTTCTGGAGCCAGTTGTGGTGGTGATGCTGGTGGAGTTGGTGGTGGTGATGGTGGTGGTGGAGTTTGTGGAGTCAGTGGTGGAGTTGGTGGTGGTGGAGTTGGTGGTGGTGGAGATGGTGGTGGTTATGGTGGTGGTGGAGTTTGTGGAGTCAGTGGTGGAGTTGGTGGTGGATTTGGTGGTGGTGGAGTTGGTGGTGGTGATGGTGGTGGAGTTGGTGGTAAATTTGGTGGTGGTGGAGTTGGTGGTGGTTATGGTGGTGGTGGAGTTTGTGGAGTCAGTGGTGGAGTTGGTGGTGGTGGAGTTGGTGGTGGTGGAGATGGTGGTGGTGGAGATGGTGGAGGAAGCCCCTAACCTGCTGATGATGATGATACTCCTGCTGATGATGATAATTATCCTGCTGCTGATGATGATGATGATGATTCTCCTGCTGCTGCTGCTGATGATGATGATGATGATAATTATCCTGCTGCTGCTGATGATGATGATGATTCTCCTGCTGCTGCTGATGATGATGATGATGATGATAATTATCCTGCTGCTGATGATGATGATGATGATTCTCCTGCTGCTGCTGATGATGATGATGATGATAATTATCCTGCTGCTGCTGATGATGATGATGATTCTCCTGCTGCTGCTGATGATACTGCTGATGATGATTCTCCTGCTGCTGATGATACTGATGCAGATGATTCTCCTGCTGCTGATGATACTGCTGATGATGATTCTCCTGCTGATGATGATACTGCTGATGATGATTCTCCTGCTGATGATGATAATTATCCTGCAGCTGCTGCCGATGATGATGATTCTCCTGCTGCGGCTGCTGCGCTGATGATGATGCTGCTGCTGATGATGATGATGCTGCTGCTGATGATGATGATGCTGCTGATGATGATGATGCTGCTGATGATGATGATGATTCTCCTGCTGCTGCTGCTGCTGATGATGATGATGATGCTGCTGATGATGATGATGATGCTGCTGCTGATGATGATGATGCTGCTGCTGATGATGATGATGATGATGCTGCTGCTGCTGCTGCTGCTGCTGATGATGATGATGCTGCTGCTGATGATGATGATGCTGCTGCTGCTGCTGATGATGATGATGCTGCTGCTGATGCTGCGGCTGCTGCTGCTGATGATGCTGCTGATGATGATCTAAGTTCTGACGATGACTCATCTAGGCCAGCAGGGCTTAGTCCAGTCGCGATCTCCGATGTGACGATGCGGTGACGATGGTCGTGACGACCCCCTGGGCTCTCTCAATATCAATATCAATATCTCTCTCATTATCGATCACTCTGTCAATATCTCTCTCAATCTCTGTCTCATTATCAATCACTCTGTCAATATCTCTCTCATTATCGATCACTCTGTCAATATCTCTCTCAATCTCTGTCTCATTATCAATCACTCTGTCAATATCTCTCTCATTATCGATCACTCTGTCAATATCTCTCAATCTCTCATTATCGATCACTCTGTCAATACCTCTCTCTAATTATCGATCACTCTGTCAATACCTCTCTCTAATTATCGATCACTCTGTCAATACCTCTCTCTAATTATCGATCACTCTGTCAATACCTCTCTCTAATTATCGATCACTCTGTCAATACCTCTCTCTCATTATCGATCACTCTCTCTGTATCTCTCTCTATCTCACGATATCTCTCAATCTCCCTCGGAGTGACAGGGGCGTGTCACGTGTCACACGCCATGTGACGTGTGACACGTGCCACGTGTGACACGTGACGTGTGACACGTGCCACGTGACACGTGACGTGTGACACGTGCCACGTGACACGTGACGTGTGACACGTGCCACGTGACACGTGACGTGTGCCACGTGACGTGTGACACGTGTGACACGTGACACGTGACGTGTTTGCGCGCCTGCTGCCACTGTCGGATCGAATGAAAGGGGTTGCTGCAGCACGCACGGAATGTCGGGAGATGATCCCCCCGTTGAAAAGCCACTTGCACCCGAAATATCTCCACAAACAATAAAAGATTAGAAACCCCGATGGGTTTTGTCGCTTTGATTTGATTTTCCGACTCAATTTCTATCAAACGAAATCAAAAACCGAAATTGAACGGTTTTTGATCGACACCAGACGCACAAAAACGTATTTGTGGGGCACTTACAATGTAAATTCAGTGGCGTTAAAATGTAAAACCTCGGACTTTCAGATCTTTATTGATTTGAAGCGTTCGTGAGTTCAGGTATCCATACTCGGTGATTCGTTCGCTAAATTCTAGATGTGAAGCTTTCGTGACTGCAAGGATTCATATTCTTAGATGTGGTTCCAGACATACAGTACCCTGGCGT